CTCTTCTCTCCACGGTGCTTCTGGAGTTACCACTGAAAAGTGTCACTCTGACACTGCCCTTGCTTTTGCTTAAGGCCCACACAGGCACCCCATTTCCACAGATAATATGAGACCTCACAGGCAAGAACATGAGGTTCTCAAATGCAGAGCCTATATGACCCGAGTCCTTCCAGTGTCACCCACCACTGTCATATTCTCTCCGAGAATAAGCTGGATTCCCCAAGACCCATGGAGACACCACGCTCTTTTACACTCTGTTTTTGGGGAGGTTATGTTTCATAATGGTTAGGTGTCCAGGGACTTTCAATTAGATGCATGGGAAATGAATCCCAGCTCCACCACTTACTAACTGTGTCACCTTGGTCAATTTACTTAATCTCTCTAAACCTCAGTGTCCTTATTTGTAAAAAGAAGGTAACAAAGCGACCTCATTAGGGCCATTAGGAGGATTAAATAAGGTAAAAGATATAGAGTGCTTAGTATAGTATTGAGTAAAGGAGAGCTAAAGTTATTGCCCTTTCCAAATGCTGCTTGGAATCTCCTTCCTAACCAGGACTACATGGTAAACTCATACTCACCCTTCAATGCGCAGTTCAACTCTCACCTCTTCTGTGAAATGGTCCCTTTCCCTTCCAGGGTGCTCATAGAGCACTGATATATTAAAACACTTATTTCGTTTTACATACCTGTTTTCACACCTGATGTACCCACCTGGCTGTGAACAATTCCAGGGTGGGGTCACCTCTTATCTTTTTAAGTCCTTATTGACATAAACCCAACATACAGGAAGTACTCAGTCAATTTCTGTTGAGTGGAAGAACTAACTCTCACGTGTCTGAGTTATTCTTAAGAACTATCTTTGTACCTTCATAAGAAAACATGAAGTGAACACCCAGGGAATTGGGACTTGTCTCCAGTGACCCAAGTCACAAGATGTTAGGCTTGCATTGCATCGGCAGAGACTTGGAAGCAAATGACAGCCCATTGAAGAGTACTTGCAGCAGAAGAGATCAACTAAACACCTAAAAGTGACATGTGGAATCTTAAAAACTTTCCAGATGTTAGGGAGATTCATTTTAGAGGCTCTAGTAAAGGAGGATTTTGAGTCTTAAACACTGTGGGACTCTACAATCACAACCCAGGTCGGAAGCACAATTAACTGATCTATAAAAAGGGAGGAAAAAAGTCCTAGAAATGCCAAAACATTTCCACGAGACATATGCCAGGACACCACCATAAACTTAAGAATGTTTAAAACCTCTCACTCACTTTTACCTATTTGCCAATGCCTACCTAGCACAGTGCCTCTTAAATTTAAAAATACTGAATGAATGTAATTGTTAGATACCTACAACGTATGGGTTGAAGCAGAGAGACCCCCAAAAGCCCTCTTTGACCACGACACATTTTAGCATTAAAAATTATGTAAGAACAATAGTCTAGTCAATTTGGTAGTTTTAATCTCTTCCAAAAATAAAAGGGAAAACAGCACATACTTCACTGTGCTAACATTTCTGGGAGTTTTAAAACTTTGCTGAAGTCATCTTAGAAATGCTGTATAGTGTTATGGGAATAGAACTGAGTCCAAAAAGATCGGAATTCTAGCTCCTCCTCAAACACACTGACGGTCTGTGTGGCCCTGAATCAAATGTCTTTTTCTTCTATCAAACATTACTGTTTTTTAAATGGGAATATTCATTCTTCTTTGACTCCTATTATCTTATAAAGGTAAAACCAGTAATTGGAGAGTGCTTTAAATGTTAAACAGTTATGAAAGTGATACAATACTAATATTTCAGAATTTAAAAAATAAGCACATTAATATCTCCCATACAACATTAAAAAGAAAAAAAAAACTAATAGGAATCAAAATAGTTATTGGGTACACTTTTAGGACAGAGATAAAATGACTAAGTATAATATATCCATGGAGACAGGGTACAAAAGGGCAATGCACTAGATAAATTCCGAAGTTTATAATCCCTATAGTCATATGTTTATCTACCTACTGCATCATTTACAAGAGAAAATACGGGCAAACACAACGAGATTATTTTCCTCTCCATAATGCCCTTCCCCCCACCCATTCAAAAATAGCTCTTCCTAGTTGTAACTGCTGTGAAATTAAAAACTAAAAGCTTACAAAAACCTGAAAGACATATGGACACATGGATCTGCTAAGGTTCTTGCATTTATAACAAAACTAATACAATTTCCTAGAATTAGCAGTCAAGCAGTGTGTTAAAGCTGGACTCAGGAGGGCCTGGGCTTTAGCTCCAGCCTTGATAGGAGTTGGCTCAGGAGTCTTGACCAAACCAGTTCACTTGTCTGACTCTTTCCTCATCTGTAAAATGAAGGAGTAGAACCAGATAAACTCTGTGGTCCTTTCACTTGCCTGTTTGAGGAAGTCTGCAATGCTGTGCAAATAAAATCAAAACTAAAGAACAACCAAAACCCAAATTCACACTTTCAAAACCAAGCTTCTAGTGATCAACAGTTTACTGAAGTTTAGGTAAGTTAAACACAGGTAAATCTGGTAGATACCACAGCAAAATACAAGCACCATCATTAGGAGTCCCGAGAAGCACCCACACATCTTCTCATTTCTGCTCCACCACAGGCTATTCCTCTAGTATCATTTTCTGTCATCTCATTACATATTTCAGTTGCAAAGAGGCTCTGATCAAGCAAAGCCCACCCTTATATAACTGGAAGCCGGATGCAAACCAAGTAGCATTTCTTTTCCAGGTCATACCAATTCATGTGATTCACACATGGAAAAAAACTGGATGTTATATTTTCCAAATTGTCAGATGATTCCAAACCAAACTGAAACACCTAAACCCAATGGCAATTTCTCAACTAAAACATTACTGTGACAAGAACATTCAACTCTAACACACAGAATCAACAGCCTACTGATGCTCTTCCATTAACCACAGCCCAACAGATTGGTTAACTTCTGCGCAGTGAATTCCTAGCCCCTGGGTCTAGATGTGTCAGGAGAGACAGAAAGAGGAGGAGAGAGAGAAAGAAAATGTAAGAAGAAAACATGTTCCTGGGGAACTGTGCACAGATGTCCAGGTCTCAGAGAAAATATTCCATTCTAGCCATCCGCTTATAAATTCTCCCCATAAACGAGTTTCCCCATAACACATGACCCTCAGAGCTGCTCCTCTGAAGGCTAGAAATGGCCTTTTCTGCAAGAACTTAACTTTCACTTGGCAACCAAAGCCATATCCTTAGCAAGCACCCCTCATACAGAACCATCTTAGGCAGTTCCTCTGGAAGATCGAATCGTAAACAAGACATTGGAAGCCATCAACTCCTCCAGGGCACATCTCCCCTAGGCTGTCAGCCACCATCCAAGGGCTCTCTCTGGGAGGCGAGAAAACGTACGTACTGAAATCAAGCCCAGCTTGCTGATCTCTGCAGCCACCAGTCCCGCGCCGAGCTCCCAGTTCCCTCTTGGCCCTCTGAGGGACCACGGCACCTGTCAGGTGCCCATCCCTTCCCACCTCCTTCCGAGGCAAAGCTGGCCCTTTTCTTTTCAATAATATCCAACTGCAGAATCCTACAGGGGTGGCGCGTTGTTTTGACTGCCGCTGCGGCTCTTATTTTTGTTAATGTTAATTACAATTTCTGCTGTGCTCAAACCTGTAGCACTCGTAAAACATGCTTCCACACGCGGAGGATAACTGTCGGTGCTCCCTGCTGGGTAGAGCCAGGCCCGGGATGCTCTTTGGGGCATCGATTTTCCGGGCAGGACGGCCTGGCTGTCCCCTAACACATATCTGTTTCTATAAATACCCACTACCCAACGTGGTGGTGGAGGGGCAGGGATGTTTAGCGGGTCAGGGAAAAGGAGCTCGAGGAAGCAAGGACGGAATAAAAAGGGGGGGGTGGTGGGGAGCGAAGAGAGAAGGAAAGCGACCAGGAGGAAGTTCCGAGGAAGAGGAGCGCAGGGGTGGGCGGGCTCCGGAGGGGAAGTGAGGGGCCCACGCCACGAATCCTCCTTTGTGGCTGCAGCTTTGGGCTCGCTCAAGTTCCAGAGGGCGGCGTCCCGGAGAGGCCACTGGCGTGGAGACACTCGCACTTCGACCTCTCTACCCTCTCCCGGCCGCATTATCCCCCAAGTCCGGGTGCCTGTGCCCCGGACCCCTCCCGCCCCTCTCCCCCCGCCGCCCGCGGCCTGGGTCTTACCGTGTGGGCTGCGGTGGCAGCGTTGCTGGCCCGGAGCGGCGGCAGGGCGATGGGGGAGGGCGGGCCGGTCCCCACTCCGCTCCGGGGAGCCCCCGCACCGAGCCCCGGGGAAGCCTGAAGCTGGCGAACGGCGCTGTCCCCTCCTCGGCCTGGCAGCCACGCGCGGGAGGAGACAAAAGAGGGTCAAGGGGGAGAAAGTCACCCGGACCCGGTGGCCCCGCCCCACCCCTCCAGGCTGCCGAGCCCGCTCTCCCCGGGGCAGAGCCGGGGACCGTGAACGCGGGCGTCCCGGAGCGGCAGGAGGCCGGGGACGCAGACACCCGGCACTCCCGCGGGGCGGGGCTCAGGCGGCTGCAAAGTTAAGTCGGGCCCCTGGCGCGCAAGCGAGTTCGCGACCCGTTGGTGGAGCCGGGCCGGGCGCGGGCCGGCGGCTCACGTTGCGGGAGGCCGCAGGCCTGGAGTTGGGCTGGAATGCCGACCCGGGCGCCGCCGCCTCGCCAAGTCCCGGGCGGGGGAGGCCCGGGACGGCCCCCGGCCGGCTCGGAGGAGCCTCGGAGCTCGCGTGTAACAATGAGCGGAGCCGAGGCGAGGGCGCGCCGTCCGCCCGGGGGACCCCGCGCCGCCCCGCCGCGGCGCAGACTTTGTTCGAGGTCCCGCTGGTAGCGGGAGCCCGCGCCACGAGGGCTGGCCCGGGGGCCGCGGGGCTGCGCGCCCGGGGCGGCGCGGGGCCCGGGCCTCCTTACCGGTCGGGTAGGCGGCGGGAGCGGCGGCCGAAGGTTTCCTGGTTAACATGGCCGCTGGAGAGGAAAATGCATCTCAGGGCTGCCGTCTCCGTCTCCGTCTCCGCCGCCGCCGCCGCCGCCGCCCGTCCTGCTGCTACTTCTCGCGGCCGCCACCGCCGCGCCTCCTGGTCGCCCCTCTCGCGGATCTCCGGCGCCTCCTCGCCGCCTCCCGTCAGCTACAGCCAGACACACACAGTCCGCTGCATCCCCTCGGCCCGGGCCCGCCGCCGCGAGCCCCCCGCTCTCCTCGCCGCCGCCGCCGTCCTCCTCTTCCTCGGGCGGCCGCAGCACCCTCCGGCCCGTGCACATGCCTTGCCCTCCCCGGCGCGCCGCGGGCCTCCCCGATTCCCTCACATAGGGCGCGGGGAAGCTGGCTGCGCCGCCTCGGCCGACTGGTTCGGGAGCCTCCTCCCGGGCCCGCGCACGCGCGCTCCCGCGCACACTCGCCAGGCGCCCGCGCACCGCGCGCCCGGGAAGGGCAGCCCCGCCCCCGCTCCCTCTGCCGCCGGGCAGGCCCCGCCCCCGGACTCCCCACCCCACCCCAGGCCCGGCCACAGACTCCCGCGCACACCCTCCCCGACCCAGCCGCCCACCGGAGTCCCTCCCACCCACTCCTCCTCCCCAGCACGAACCCCAGTCGTCGGCATAGCCACCCCTCCACTCCCCCGAAAACTCTGCAGCCTCCGCTCGCCCTTGGCCTCCCCCTCCGGCCTTCTGCACGGTTCCCCCTGCTAACGGCCTTCTCCCCTCCCCGGCCTCGCCCGCCCCTGCAGCACCCCACCCCTTCCCTGCAGCGCAACCTACCATTGCTTCCCTCCCACCGAAATCGCTGCAGAGGGCCCCCTCCCCTTCCGAGCGCACCCCCAACCATATATGCATTTTCAGCTTTCCGAACCTGATGGCTGCTCACAGACAATACTGCCCCCCCACCGCCTTCCGGGTCCCAGTGGCTTAAGCACCTCCTCTCCCAAATTGATCAGGTAAATAACTTAGTTGTGCCGGGGGTCACCTCGGTAAGGAAAGTCCAGCCCGTTGGAGGGCCGCGCCTTAGCTTGGGGACCCCGAGTGTGGGCCAAGGAGGGGGCTGCCCTCCCACCTCCACCTCCACCACACACAGCCCCTCCCTGATTTACTGACACTAAGTGACCGCTCTCCAGTCTCTAGGACAAGGGGATGCAGAGAGGCGCGTGTGGATGGTTGCCGGGGAAGCAGTTGGCTGTGGGTTGCTAGGCAAAAATAAACATCACAGACGCCTCCCATTTCCTTACAACTCCGAGCCTTTCCCCTGCGCGGCCACTGGGAGAGGTACACCTTCCCGAGCGACACCTTTAATTCCTCTCCTCCCCAGACACAAGTCTCTTTCCCCTTCCCATCCAAGACACGGAGAATTTCCCTGTCCTTTGAATTTGCCATATACTGCCTCTCTTTCCCTTGCAGACTGAAGAACTACTGCCCATCTCACACCCGCGTCCTGTCGTCTGTGGCACATGCCTTTGTCCAAAGGTCACAGGTTTTGTGACTTCAACGGGAGTGGGGCGGGGGGAAGCCCGGCAATTCCGGATGACAGAACCGAAAGTTTGCCTTGCACTTTCTTCTCCAGACGTGCCTGGTTTCTGAAGTTCTCCTGCGAACCTGGGTCCGTTATGATCTGTCCTGTGTATCTGCCGCCCCTGGCTGGACCAAGTATGCAGGCCTGAGCTAGTGCAGACTCAAATCAGAATGGGGACCGTCGCCTCTACTGTTTGCAAATTGTCATAGCAACCTCCCAGCAAGATCACCTTCAGCTAAATACAAATGCCCCAAAAGGAGTGTTTCAGAGTTACAGTGTGGCCCTCTCAAGCGTCTCCAGGGCTCCTACAGGGGCATCAAGGACTGAGGGTGTTGGCAGAGGGAACAGGTGGCAAAGAGTAGAACTGTGCAGAGTAATATGTCCCTCTAAAAAATCCTTCTCCCAATAAAGTAGAAACACAGTGAAACAATCAATCCAATAATAAACCTTTACAAAGAAGAGTGATGACCTGATCTGGTCCCAGCAAGAGATATTCCCCCTTGCTTGTCATCAGAGACGATCACATTCAAATTCACGTGGGGAAACATATTCAGTGTTCAGAATTAACTAAAAGAAAAGGGATTACTCAGCAGCAGAGTTGAAGCTAGAACTCATTTTCTGACTCAGTTTACTCTCACTTTGCTCTGTGTTACCTTGGCTTTTAAGAAACATCACACCTCTTTTCCTTCCTTCCCTTTCAAACAATTATTTTCATACGGTCTTCCTTTTCTTAATGAGTGTTCCATACAACTGATGTTTAGATGAAAAATGTGAAGCCAAAAATTCAATTTTAATATAACGGGACCCAGCTTTCGCTCAAATTATTCTTACATTACTTCAACAGAAGCTAAATACTCTCCTGCTTTTTCATGAATAAGAAAAATGCTAACTACTGGAAGTCACAGTTTGTGAAATCCAAATTAGAAATATTAATTTCCACATTAAACATGAGGAAAAGGAACACTGACTTTTTTTGTAAACAAAGGGACACAATGAATCATTAACTTTAATCAAAGAAAAACTGCTTGTTTAGGGAACTTTTCCTAATATGTTGTTTTATGACACGATAAGTACAATTTCAATTTTTTATCTTTTGGTTTCTTACCTTGAGGAAAATTTGCATTTAGTCTAATATCTTTAGCTATTTTAATTATAAATGCTACACCTTTCAAAATTATATTCTTGCTGACCTCTAAATTAGTATTTACAATTGCTCGGATTTTTCTCATTTTATTAAATATTGATGGCCTCAACCTGTATTAATGTCAAATAGAAAAATGTACAAATGCACTCCCTGAACTTTCAAGGAGAATAAACTGGGTAAATTCTAGTAGCTATTACCCTCAAACTCTATTATTCTAATGCATCATTATCAATTATACTACATTAATCTCTGTATAAAACCCTTTCACTAATACTATCATGTTTAATCGTCATGACTCATAAGCAGATCAGAGTTGTGTTGCTGTTAACAGTAACCTCCTCAGGGGGCTCCATTCAGTTAGTAAGAGTCTGGTCTTTGGTTCTTGCCCATTGTAAAAACTCCATCTGTTCTGAATATTTATAAAATCCAGCTTCAAATGACAAGTAGGCAGGATGTAGCAGGATGAGAAAGAAAGAAACTTTGGGGAATTCAGAATGGAGTCTTGTGGAAGGAAGTCGATTCTTCACTGAGAAAAGTACTGATCACAGAGAAAATTGGAAATGAACAAGAAAATTGCTGGTTTCAAAACATATTCACTCATTTAATCTCTTTATCCCAGGAACATTTACAAAGAATTCAGTGTGTGCTGGGCCTAGGGGATAGGATGAATCATCAGATGTCGTGGGTGAGGCTTCAGCTGGGTAATGTTAGGACCTCATTCTTTTATTCAATGAAGCAATAAACTGTAAGCACCTAACATATTTTTGACACTATTCGTACTGGGGCTGCACATTTAAATAAATAATCCCTGGCTCTGGTCATGGTTATTAAGAATCACAATCCAGTAGGAGAGGCAAGACCCTTAATGATGTGATGGGGCAGAAATCAAGGCATGTAGGAGGCACGATGGTGGCACACAGGAGGGAGTGATGAGCTCTACTTAAGTGGTGACTGGCCTCAAAAGAGCTGTGATGTTAAAGAGACTTGGGAGTTTGCCAGTCAGACAAGCCAGGCTAGGACATTCTAGGCAGAAGGATAGGATGTGCAGAGGCACCAAGGAGAAGAAAGCCTAGTGTACTCTGGGAGAAGTGTAAGCAATTCAGAATAGAGGAAGCTCGAAGTGGCAGGGGGAGGGTTGGTACTGCAATCTTTATAAGGTTAGGGATACGGATGATATTTGGGATAAGAATTATCTGAAACTTCACCAGCTGTGGAAATGTGAAAACAAAGTACAAAGTCTTTTAAAACAACTAAGGTAAATTACTAAGGAACTGCCTCATTTTGGGTAACAGACTTGTAAGTTGGGCCTAATGCCCCTTAGAAGGATCCCATTTACTGATGGTATCTTCCATGTATCCATCACCAAGGTCCAGAACCACCTAGAGAAGAACATCAAGACCATATGGCCTGAAGTCTAGGAATGTGACTCCTCAGATGTAGGGGGCATGGATGCCATAGCTAAATTGCCACTGGTATTTGCCTTTGCCTCTGGCCACTGCTGGTATGGAAATCAGGAAGAAATGTCTGTCGGATCACCACTAGAGAGGTGGTGATCAGAAGTGTCAGAGTAGGTTGGTGGTGTTCTGGTCAGGGTACTTACAGAGCCAGTTTCCTTAATCCTGGGGGCGGTGGGTAGGGAGGAGATGCATTTGTCCCCTAGGTGAGCTAGGTATCTGGAAAGGCTGGGGATACTGTCCAGCATTTCTTGGGGGTAGTTCATCTGCTTTTTCCAGCTGCATGCTAAGGACAGAAAAGTAGTAAGCAGAGAAAAGAGAAGGCTATATCCTGGATGTGGGGAGTACTGTGTTGAAGAGCCCAGTGGGACCTGTGCCTCTGACACCACCAGGACAAATGCCAGCAGAGCAGTGCCTGGTGTGTCCGGGAGCTTCAAAGGGATAAGGAGGGCCATCACTAGGTAGGGCCCCCAGCAGCAGGCTCCCAGGCCAAGGCCTCCCATACCACTGGCTCAACTCACACAGTCAGCCCCCAGGAGACAGGCCCACCAGGCTGCACTGCGAGCAACCAGCCAGGAGCGAGCTGATTCCAGGGCACCGGCCATCATACTGGACCCTGAACCTGCCGGGGAGTGAATGAGTAAAACTAGCACAGCAACTCTAAGAGCAACTCTATTAGGAAGTTTGCTGTAAGAGAAACAATGTGCGATTTTGCAAACCAGATAACAGCAAGGGACAGGACCTGTGGTTCCAGGTCTTGGGATCTTTGGTGACACTCTAACCAAAAGTAATGCCATCTAGAAGCTAGGAAGGGGCCAGTGGGAAGGAGAGGTCTGTTCTATGAGCATCATGAGAGCTGCACTGGCCATTGCTTCTGGCTTACCTAAGCACAGACTCAATAAAAAACATACGAAATGGAACATTATTTTAGCCAAGGATGGGCTAAGAGCAAACATCCACATTCAAACTTATAAACAATGAAAATGCTTATAAACAGTGAAAAGGGACTCCACTTCTACAAAAGACCTACAAGAGTACCTGTTTTCCTTAACCGAAAGAAATCCGAAGAGGATTTTCATTTTTACAAAAAAGGCGAAAAGCAAAAATAGCATTCAGCCTTTGTTTTGCAGTGACTCCGTATAGAGGCATCACACACACACACACACACACACAGACACACACACACACACACACACACACACACACACACACACACACACACACACACACACACACACACACACACACACACACACACACACACACACACACACACACACCACGCACAAGCAGTGAGAGTGGCGCCACCAAGCCCTTTCCCCTGGAACTGCAGCTCCGCATCAAGCCACCTTAGCTTTGAACTTGTCTGTGAGTGTCTGTGAGTTATCTCCATTTATTCTGTGCATTTGTTAGCAAAATGAGTCCTAAGGTAAATGCTTCTTTACTTGACACCATTCCAGCTTATGAAAGGTTTCAAAGGAATGCTGTACTTTCAAATAGTGGGGGAAAACTATACATGTACGTATATAATCAATTCTCAAGCTCTTACTACATGTCAGGCATTGATCTTGGTATTTGGAACAAAGCAAATAAAGTCCTTGCTCCATGGATCTTGTCTTCTAGCGCAAGGAGAATGACAAGTGATGAACAATACATATATCACAGGTCAGAGGGTGATAAGTAAGTACTATATGGAAAATGACATGATGTAAGAGGATAGGAAGAGATGGGAGATGGTACTATGTTACTTAGGGTCATCAGTGAAGGCCTCTCTGATAAGGTAACATTTTAGCAAACTCGAAAGAAGTAAAAAGCACGCGGAAATCTCCAGGCAAAGGGCCCAGCAGATGCAAAGGCTCTGAAGTGGAAACATTTGGGGCACAGCAAGAGGGCAGGTGGCTGCAGCAGTGACGTGGGCAAGAGCTGGGAAGTCACAGGGATAAGGTCAGAGGGACAGCTAAGACCACGTTAAGGAATTTGAATTTTACTCTGAGTGAGTTGGGAAACCAAGGCTTAGATGCTTCAAAAGGTACCAAACCAAGAGTGGAAGGTTACAACCAACCCTGCACACCCTTTATTTTTTTTACAATCTCAATGTATATGCATTTTTACACCTTTCCTAATTCGCATTGAGCTAAGCACTGTGGAAGGCAAAGCTGACCAAATACAAGCCATGGTCTCTATTCTGTGAGTCTCATTTGGGAGAAAACTCACTCCAGGAAACCTTTCAAACCCACAGTAAAGAGCATGTGTTGCATGTTTTCCTTTTGCCCCTCAGGTCCACCCTTCCCCACCCTGCTCTGGGCTACACGGGACTTTATAGATGGCATCAATGGGCTCCCAGGCCCACGGGCTTCCAAGTGGATTTAGCTAATGGAAGTTTCCGGTAAGAGACCCAAGGCTCCAGGACAATGAGATCAAGCTCTTGATCTCCCTGGCTTTCCCCATGCCAGCCTGCCACAGACCAGCCAGGTCCCTTGACCTCAGCTCTTATCAGACAGTCCTTTCCTACAGCTACAGCTTGGAGTTCTGGACACCATTCAGTCCCCTTGCCCCTTCAAGCCTACAGGTGGTAAGGGTTTCCTGCAGTTGCAAGCTCCATGGCCCTTCATTTTCCCTTGCTGATTTCTCTTCTCCCCACCCATACTCTTGTACGGAGTCTATTAAACTCTGATTGTGCCATGTTTTTTTTGCCAGATCCTAACCAATACAGAGGATAACATATATATATATATATATATATATATATATATATATATAAGTCCTATATAGTGTAGGTTATGGGATCTCGATACCATATAACTCTAGAGGGCTAGGAGAATCTGTGTTTGTTGGAAGAGTCAGAATGGGATTCCTAGAGAAGATAGAATTTGATCTGGGCCCCAGAAAATGGGCGGGCTTCTCTTAGGCAGAAGAAAAAGCACTCCCAGGCCAAGGGAACGATTCGAGAGAAGGCAGAGAAGCGGGAATCAGTACTTCAGAAGCAGCAGCCCCAAGAGTAGAGACTGGAACTGAGGAGGACAGAAAACAAGAGGCGGGCGGCAGAGTAGGTGCACCCACCCGGGTCGCAGATTACAGTGGAAGCCGGACAGGAGAGTTTCCACTTGGTGTGGATGGAAACACCAGACCACTGCAGCTCTCCGAGCAGTGAGTGACCTGAGAAAAGTGCTAAGTCAAGGAATGTAGATCAATTTGGCTGCAGAATGTTAGAGAGACTGGAGTGGGGAAGAAATAGAAACTGAAACAACCAGTTTGGAGGTGGTTTCCAGAAGTAGCTGAGGGGGGTGCCACGGAGAGGCAGGGGCAGATACTGTTTATTTTGATGCCCTATCTAGAGCCCAAGAGAGGGGTCTTTGAAATGACGAGAAGCCAGAAGTAATGGAAGGGCCAGATGTTTGCCTTGCTACCTCTGGGTTTCAAAAGCATACACAATTCTTAAAGCTGCTTATCTAAGGATTTTGCAATAAAGCTCATTAAAATGACCTGCTAAAAGTGAGACATAGTTAAGAAATAACAGGTCAGGAAAGTCTGGAATTCCAAAAGATTCCCCCATCACGTCCTTTCTTAGTGGTCTGTAGACAGGATTTATCAATCACTCAAGGAGAAAATAAGGTATAATAAATAAGGAATAAATAGTGTGCTCTGGAGGCCAGCTTTATTAACCGTGTCTCATCTATGGAGAGGATTGGTACACTGGCTTCTGTCTGATGTTGGGTACAGATTGCTGAAATTCCAACTAAGGAGCACATGTCATTAAAATAAAATGCAAAATTCTGAAGACAACCCTCCCCCTCCCACCCCTTTCGCTTTATTATCTTGCTTTTAAAGAGATATTATAAAGAGATGAAGGCGAGGGACACTCAGGTGCACCAACAAGATATGGAATGATCCATGCCCCAGTTCACTAAGTAGCCCTGGACATTAAGGTCCCATACACCTTGGAGGTATGGGCTGTTCCTGCATCTTTGGACCCTGTAACTCCAGGTCTCCAAAAAGCAAGTCCTGAGAAACAACTTTTGGTCCCCTTTGGATATATCAGTAGGTCTGAGACAGGGAGAGTTCAGAGGAGTCTGGTTCATTATATAATGTTCATTATAGCCCTGCTATAATCAGGGAAACCCAAAGATGCTAGACTAACTCTGGTTCTGAGGGTTTCCTAGACCTGGGTTAGACCTGGCGTCCAAGGCTGAGGCACCCTCCCAGAGAACAGTGGTAACACCTCAGCTACCTGAGAACCCTCAAAATAATAGCTAATAC